AGAGAGGTGTGTGGGGGGCCCGGCCCACGCCCCCCCCCCCCCCAGTCGTCCCCCCCAGAAAGGGCAGTGAGGAGGCCGGGAGTGCCCCTACCCCACCGCTTCTCTCTCCTCTCAGTTTTAGGGACACCCAGGTTCTGGTTGGGTGTGTCCCTCCCTCCCTCCCTCCCAAGCCCGTTTGTGAGATTTCAACTTTGGCTCCGGAGTTTTAAGCCTGCCACAGTGGAGAGGCCACCAGAGACTGGATTGAGTTATAGAGCCGAAGGCGTCTGGGTGTTCCCAGCTCCCTCCTTTTTACCCCCCACCCCGCCCGTCACCTTCCCCTTTTGTTTAATCCATTCAGGTGGCAAGATGGTAGTCCCAGGGGGTGGGGTTGGGGGGAGCACCCACCAGCAGCAGGGGTGAGGTGGGGGGGGTGTAGATGGTACAGTTTTATTGTACAGGTGCTAACGAGGACTGGACAATCGGCTTTCTGGCTCTCCTCTGCGCTGCAGGGTGGGAAAGGTGGGGTGTTACATTTTCTTCATTTGTGTTGTGTTTTTTCTCCCCCCCCTTTCCCCCTTCCCCCTTGGGGAGCTGCATCGCCTGCCCCGCCTCACCCACCCCTCCAAGCTGGCTGCCTCTTCAGGCTCCCACCTTGGACGAAACAGACAGTATATTTTCTCCCTCCCTCTCTCTCTTACGCCAAGGCCTTTTCGGGCCTTTGGGGTATGTGTTCTGGCTGCTGTTTTTCTGATTTTTTTTGTTTGTTTTATTCTTAAGCAACAGGCTGTGGTGTCCAAAACACTTATGTACAGAAAAAACCTGCATCAGGGCTCCCGTCTCCTGCCTCATCTTTGGTTCCTTGCGCCTTGGGGACGGGAGGGCCAAGGGGGAAGGAGTGATGGAGGCGGGCGGGCGTTCTCTCCCGTCTCTTTTAAGACCTGTCGCATCTGCCAGCAAGGGCAGCCCCCCTGAACGTTTTAGCCAAAGCTGGGTTCAACAGAGTGACGTTCGGGAGGCTTCCTTTCTTAGACCACTGGGGCGGCAAAGGACTTGCGCCATTGGTCCAGCCTGCTGACCAACCGGTGAGCCAGCCAAGAGACCCTGTCTTCGTGCTACCTTTAAACCCCCCTTTTGCCTACTTCCTACCTTCTTTTTAAAGAACATTGGGGACAGCACCTGCCTGGTGGAATCTTAAAGGGGCAGCTGCTCGCCTCTCCCTGGTTTCCTCCGACTGAACCCCCCCAGACTTCTGTTGGGAGAAGAGCTGCTGGCCAAACCGGCGGCGGCGGTAGGGGAAGACTTTTCTGGCTCACAGTCAGAAACGCAAATCAAGACGTAGCAGCTGGAGATTCACAATGCAGCCTCCCACTTTTAAACTCCTTAAAGGCTTGCAGGGAACTTAGTTGGGAGGGGGAGGGGGGCTAACCCTTTGCCCTGTGCCCTTTTCCTGACCTTGAGTGTCATGCCTGTAACTGCAGGTTTCCCTTTGCTGGACAACACAGCTATTTTAGGAAGGCAATTGTGGTTAGGAAAACAGCATAGAGGGAAAGGTTGTTTTTTAAAAAACACAAAAGAACTGTTGCCGCTTTGTGTGTTTTAAAACGGCTTGGGAGATCTATGGTGTCGTGACTAGCATGGCCCTTAAATTAGCTCCACAGACCTCACTGAGGACGGTATTGATGAAGAATCAGTAGTGTCAGGCCTTTCCATATCTAATGGTGACCTTCTTTCACTCCCCCAGAACCCGCTGCGGGCTCAGTGAAGCTTACTTGGCTGTCCTTGTAGGACTAGGGGTCAGTTGTTACATTGTACAACACACACACACCCTTGACCTCTGTTTCCAAAGATGGGTGGAGCGGAGGTCTTGTCTCTTAGTGGTGTTCTGTTCTGACCTCCGGATTCACAGAGGCAAAATGCTACAGGGGAGTTCAGCCTTGACTGGCACTGCAGGGCTGTTAAGTGTAACGAGCAGTGGTGAACAATGTTCCCTCTAAGCTGAAT